CGGCTCCTGGGACGGCACCTTGACAGTCCCGGGGGTATTTATAGTGGAGAGTCGGGGCTACAAACTGGGATTCCGTTTGACTTCCCCTTTAAATGTGTTACTGTGCAGGAATTTTTGTTTGCTGCCAAAAAATTCAGATGCTTAAGTTTATCCAAACTACCCGTCACAGCTTTAGTGTTACTAAACAAACTAAACACAGAAGATGTAAAGCTTGCACAGTAAACTACATTTTAGTGTCTTCCAGTAGCTGGAATGATCATGTGTTTTATTTCAGGTTTAAACAATCCAATTAAAGATATAGATGAAAACATCGACCCTGATTTAACATATGACCCGTTGAACTTTCTTTGAACTATGCCGCCAAAATCAATTAAGCAATATCTCTACCTCATCTCCACCACTTCATATACACATATATCACCCTCCCTTAAGCTGAAATATCGATATCCATAGAAAGCTCTAAAAGAGAAGGGTGATTCCAAACACTGCTGCTGTTTTTTTCTTTTCAGCCACATGTCCTTGTCTGCAATCACTTGAAGGGCACAATCATTACCCCACTGCTTTCCAAAGGTCACGGCTGCATTTATGATTCCTCAAGATAAGATGTGCTCCCTGCAATGAAAAAAATAAAATAAAAAAGGAGTGTCCCTCGCCATTTTTGCTTAAAATCATCTTTGCAATCTTGCTTAAAAGGAAGCCAGAGTGGGAAACACCGACTTGTCCAACAGGAGATGTGATGTGACGAGGGAGTGCTCATGGTGGGGTGTTGATTTGGGAGTTTTGGCCCAGTTTGGGGTGTCGGAATCAGAATCAGATAGTATGCTTGCTGGTCGGCTTTTCACAAGTGAGAAGGCAGCAGCTCGGACGGCAGGGGGAAGAGTAGCTCTGGTCAGTCAGAGGTGAAGTGCAAAACAGAAATGGTCCCAAATCATTGAAATAAACCTGCAACCAGTGATAAGACCCAACTGATAGAGATTGAAACCTCGACCTTAAGGCAACACTTTCTTTTGTGATTACTTTGCACGTTATTGATATTTTTAGAACCTGTATCCAGTCAATACAAGCTCTCTATCCTTTATATACCTTTGTCTTTAGCCCTCGCTCACAGTTATTCTTGTTTTTAAAAGGATATGATGACTTGATGCCTGGATCAAGCAACAGGCGACTCAACTCCTGTGCAGTTTTTTTAATCTCTTTTTAATTCAATTGTTAACTGCCTCGCTCATAATGTGAATAATCAGGCGTGTCCCAATTATTCACTATTTTGTGTCTTTTACTTGTATCGCCATCGATGTGTTAAGATCTGCTAATTATAAATGACTACATATGCATTAATCTTTGTAACAGGGCCCATGTTAATGCCCTGACTATGGTGGCTCTGTGTGAAAACAAAATAGAAATTTAGACCAGGAATTATTTTCCCCCGGACCACAGGGATGGCAGGGAATGTACGTCAGGATTTAATTTATTTAAATTGAATCACATAGCTGATTTACTTTGTATTGAAAGGAGCATGCTTCAGTGTAATGATGTATTAATGAAGGCTTGCTTGTTCTGACCTCAGAGCTCGAGAGTTTGGATTTCTGTAATGAGGTCCACTCTGCAAATACACATTTTCATACACACCAGGATTGGCTGATTAAAATGTGTTATTTTTGAATGAGTAATGATTTGAAATAACTTCAGTTTCTGTTTCAGTTTTAGTCAAGTTTATTTACGAAGTTGCTATGCAAGCAGAAGATGTGATGAATGTATCCAAGGCTTTAAATCCCATCAGATGATAATAAGATAGTGGAAATGGTGCTGTGTCGATACTTGTTTAAAATGTGAGTGATTCAGAGTTAAAGGAGTTCAAGGTCGAGGCTTGGGAGCAGAAGAGCAGGACAGGAAGTAAGTGTCTGTACGCAGCAGAAAAAAGTGAAGACTTAAGCAGCCACATAAGCGAAGTAGAGTCCAGAGATCACATGTTGTCTGTCTCGTGTGGTTTTAATCATTCTGCCGACTGAGGGCTGTTTCTCTGAGGAGTCATAGCTCTGAACTCTCACCCCCCTGCAGGTGAAACCTCAGGGACACGAGAAACTGTTTTTCCATTTCAGCTAAACTCTCCATTTGTGAAACACAGATGTGAACATTACTTCCTCTGACATGAACATTTTTCTTCATAGGGTGGAAATTTACAACGTACAGTATTATATTAACTAACAAGGACAAACAGAACGTTATGTCTTAGCAAAATTCAATTCCCTCTATATGCCAGTACAGAGTGGGTGTGTGTTGTGATTCGTGGCACAGTCACACTTTTCCAATCGACATGATGACTCTTCTTGGAATTTAATGTGATTTTAAAGGAATTGAAACGGTATAACTTTGGCCTGCTTATAATAACAATTGTTTCGATTTATTAACGTTTACATCAAATGTCTGATGGTTTCGTGAAAGCTCAGTCAGCGCGGCCAATACCACCGACCGCACTTCCTTTTTTTTCATCTTTCATCTGCGGAACCAAAACATTCAGTCTGTCACTGGATATAAAACTGAAGGCAGCAGCTTGTCAGGTGGTTACACGAGCCAACAGCACATCAGAGTAAATACACTAGAGTTAAATGAGACAGACTGAAAACGCTAGTGGACAATACTGAAAACACCCCCCTCAATCCTCAAACATTTCTTATATTGTCAAAATCATAAACAGGGTGCAGACACTTAAATGAGACACATCGTACACACACGCATTTAGACTCAGAACTCTATGATCCTGAAGGATTTGGCAGGAATTTCGTATAAGGGGGTTTTCCGACCGTGATGTCATCACAGTCTCCTGTACAGAAGAGAGAGAGAGAGGGAGAGTTTAAGGTTATTCTCTCTCTACCACCAAGTTGTGATGCCCTTGCTGTTTGTGTGATTAAGCAAAAACTAACCAACCAATTTTCATTACATTTTGTAGAAGGGTGGGGCTTGACCGAAGAAGAACTAGTTAAATTTAGGCGTGGGTCCGCAGGGGGGCGGATTTCTCTGGATCTTGATGAAACATTTAATAGTGTGTGAAATTTGGTGCAGCTTGATTGAATTTCAGGAGAATGTTGTGGTTCTTTGTGGTATGTGCTCAACTGAGAAGCACTTTTTGCTCCCTGGTGGTCAAAACGGCTTAATTCAGCTTCAAAGGCCAGTTTATGCATCATGTGCTTTTGATTTCTGCACTAATATTTTGACTATGCACTAAACTAAATGTGTATAAATTAATGTTTAACATCATTCAGTTGTCATTACAATCAGGTTCAGTGTTAAAGTCCTGAATTAATCTCTGCAGAAGTCGGACAATTACGTATCAAGAAAAAATTTAATAATAAATCAGAGCTTCATTGTAATTTGCTGTTTTTAACAAGGAAAGCATTTAAGAATTTGTATTTCCTGTGAAGACGAGTCATTATGCAGCCTCTCATTTTCCAATTTCAGATTGTTTACTGCATTACAGCCGCACAGTCACCACCCACTGGCCAGACAGGCCCCCGATGAGCAGTGTCTGGGACGATCAGTCGGGTCATGACAACACTGTGCCAGACTCCACCTGCTCTAAATGTAGATAACTATTGTTTGGCCGAGTGGAGAACAGACACCCCAGTTATTTGTAACTGTGTTTTGAATAATGTTGTGGTGATGCACTGACTTGTCAGTACAATTACGCTCCTGAGAACCTTGAGAACAAGAAATGAAGGAGGAAGTGAAAGACATAACTCTGGAGAAATGAGAGAATGATGCGACAGCTGACGTCACTGAATCATTTTAAGCTGCAGATTGTGAAATTGTCACAACCTTGGACTTTTATCCTTGGACTTCTTATTGTTAACGGAGGTATCGCATTCACACTCGGGATGATGGCTCAATAAGTTATTACAGTGTCTGAGATCACTCTGAAACAAGTATCCTTGTGACAGCCTCTCTCAGATATTATTTCTCCTCCCTGCATTGAAGGTTACAGGAATATTTAGTTACATGTGTTGTCAGGCCACTGCAGCTCAAAACCTCTTTCTCCTCACTGCCCGTCTGTGTTGACGAATTAGACTTTGCACGTACAACAGCTCTTATTGTAATGTGAATTATACGTCTTCAGTGTAAAACCTCCATTGTTGTTGCCATTGAGCTTGTTTTATGAGTTGTGTTACAATTAGCTAGAGGCTGAATGAGGAGCCAGCTGTCTGGCTGCTGCACATAAGAGCTGCACTGTGTGTTATTACATTTACTCTCTATTATCTCAAAGCCATGCCTCCCCTGTCTCCGCTACTATTTAGGGAATTCATGTTCGACTGCAGCAGAAGAAATAAGTAGTAAGACATCATGTGCGTAACCATATCTTTATATTTGTGGACTTCTACAGTGTCGGCATGTAGTTTCCTACGAGAGCATGAAAGCAATTAGATGAAATAAAAGTGAAATGGGTGACCGAGTCGGGTCAAGTTCCCACTGGGAGGCAGGAGGCAAAACCCCACAAAGTCCCTGGAGGGAACAACACAGACACTAATTACAAACTGGCTTTTATGTCTGTGTTTGCGCACAGAGGAACATACGAACTATAGAGGAGGGGACCAGATGTGTGGTGTCTTTACATGCATGTGCTTATTATTAACTTGGTTTAATATGGCCTGGATTTATGTTTTCTAATTTCAGGAAGACAGAAATTCTGTCGCCACAGTTCAGTGGAGGAAGTAATCTTACAATTCAACAATTACAAGTCAAAACCTCTCATATTAGTACGCCTGCTCAACCTGTCGGTTGGTCGGAGAGAGTAAAGTACCTCTTTTTTATAGTAAAGAACTGTAGTACAAGTACTTTGTGACATTCCGTCGCTTATTCAGTTTCATTTAATCTCATCTTCCTTTAAATGGAAATTACTCCCTGAGAAAAACAACACACCGTGTGTGTGTGTGTGTGTGTGTGTGTGTGTGTGTGTGTGT